TCCCCGATCTGTGTAGAGATACATGTGTTGTGAGAAACAGAACCCAGACTCCAGCCATTACCAAGCCAGGCACGTGATGCTGCCGGCCAAACCGCTCACGTTTTGGAAACTCAAATCTCAGGCTTGCGATGGCAGCCACCCGCCGGACCAAAACACCCCCCAAAACGCGAATTGACAAATTTCCAAACGGGCATCAATCGATCTTTGCATTTGCGAGCCTGTCATTGGAGCCTGCGATCACGTTCGACATCCGAACGTTCTGCCGTTTGTATTTGCTGTGTTTCCGGAGCCGTTTCCGTGCAACCATGACTGGTACCGACGACTTGGTTACAAGGTAGTTACTGAACGATCCGAGAAGAACACTGCCGTAGTTAGAAATTGCGCGCGTAATATTTGTAAAGATCAGCTCACCCTTTCAACGCGTTGCGGCCTCGCGACCCCAGGATCACCAGGGTAGGTTCCAAGAAGTCAATCTATTCAACGACTGTCAGCAAACCGCTCCAATACTAGATGCCAGATCAAAATCTTACCACTTCAGTAATCATGTGCTTGGGGCTCTTGCAGTGAAACACCTCAACGACGGCACGCACTTGCAGCCGGGTCTTCCTTAGCAGCTTGACGCACCGGTCCGACACCTCTACGCATGCCTGGTACCTGTCTTTCTCCGCCTTTCCCATATTTTTCACGTTGGCCTCGGTAGCCATTATGGAGCTGGATAGCGCGGAGAAGCCAGGTCTTGTGGCTGGCAACCCGTCATGGTTCGACAGCGTCCGTTTGAGATGATCAGATTCCTGCCGTCCGGTAGTACCTTGACTGATAGGTGCACCTGAAGCATCCGTGGTTGCGACTCCAGTTTCCTCATCGACGGCATAGACGGCGAGTAGAGTGTCGCCATCTCGCAAAACGGTGCCGATGGTCCACTCCAAAGCATAGGCTGCTTCGTCACTTAAATCAGTAGACACCAGATACACACGCTGTCTTCTCAATCCGTTCTTCGCGTCTTCAGCAAACTGAACGTAGTCGCCCCGGATTATTTGTCGAACACAGCGGTGGGCCTCTGGGCTGGATTGGATAGGTGAGATGTTCAGCGAAAGCTGCTGGGCTGATTTGATCTCGGCAAGCTCATCCTCGTGGTCTGAATGAACTGGGGTCGAAAGACCAGACCCGCCCTGGTCAAAACTGGTATGGGGATGTACCACTCCCGACGAAGCCTTCCTCGATATCCTCTCCCCGTTGGGGCCAGTAATGTTTATGTTGGGGTCTAGTAATGATCGTACTTTGTAGGAAACGGCGACATCTCGCCCTGTGTGGAGTTAGTGAGATGTACAAGTCGATCTTGTTTGCAACACTTACGCTCTTGCTCGGCAGCAGCCAGCAGGCTCTTAGCAGTGATGACTTCTCTGCCCATGCTGTCGGTACCTCCAGACGACTTTCTCGACCGCTGCCTGCCTCGTTTTCTCTCCTTGGTTTTGTTCCACCCATCTTCCCAATCTGAACTATCCGAAGCATTGTCACTACTCTCGACAGCAGCACTATCTTCGCCGTCGTCGTCTGTCGCCAGGCGCACGCCCCCACCGGGCGCAGTGGCAGTGCCCTTGACGGGATCAACACCCTTGCGATTCGGTAGTGAGGCCAATCCGCCCTCAGACTGCGCCAAAGCAGAGTCGTTCAGTTTGCGATATGCCTTGTCCATGTCAATGCGCTTGCCCGAGTCTGTGACGAAAGTGTTGTTCGATGTTGGTGCGGCTGGCGTCGGGTTGGCCATGCGCGTTACTGGGGAGGCAGATCGGCCTGGCCCCGGAGAGCCAGACTTGGATCTGCCCAAAGGCCCACTCGCGGAGTTGTGCCTGTCCCTGGAATTGCCCAGGAAGCCGCTGGAGTTGCCATAGACGGAGGACATGGCACGCGGCTTCGCAGCGGCATCCAGCTTGCCACCCTGCGAGACTCGCTTAGGCATGGCATGTGCGTCGATGGAGGGCAGCATTTCGAACTTGTACGCCGATTCGGGGTTCACGCGACGCGGTGACGAGGGCATGGCGAAGGGGATACCAGTGCTGCCTCGGCTGGAGCTCCTACGCTGGGCCGGCGAGTCGACGTCCAGCATGCTGCGAATGGGCGAGGCAGCGGAGCCAGGACTTTGCGCGCGCGCAGCTGGGCTCTCTGCGCGTCGTGCGCCGGGCTTTTGGTTGCCTTCGAGAATCTTGACGACCTCTCTCATTTCCTCGTCAATAGCAGCTTCGAGTGACGCCATGGTGGCGGTGTGCAACTGGACGAGAAGACACGGAGTCGCGTGTGGAGTGCGGGCTGTGGAGTTTGTGGAGCAAGTGAGTGAGGCTGGCGGCTGGTCGAAGTGGAAGTTTGGTAGTGGAACGCGGTCGTGCTCGCGGGGTAGCAGAAGTGATTAAGGTATCAATTGGCGTCGCGCTATGGCATCATAGGCGGTGCTGTGTGCTGTCGGGTGAAGGGGCTACAAATAGCAGCGATGCAGTCCCGAGCGCAGTCGTCTGGAAAGATGTGGGGTGAGCGCGTGATGGGATGGACTAATAGCAGCGGTGGGGTAGCAATTCCAAAGACTGTAGCAGCTGGCAGTAGCTGAAAGCGATGGCGGGCCGAACCGTAGTATACAGTGTAGCTAACCGCTGTCGGAGAACAAGTTGTTCCCTAGCAGGTTGATGGAGGCGGACGACATGTGGAAGTCAAAGCGCGAGCAGCAGACGGTGAAGCTATGCACGAACAGTCAGCGCGCGTCGATGGTCGCGGGTGCTCTTGGTCCAGGCGATGCGAAGTGGGCATGAAACCCCTCCCTCAACATCTGGCGATTTGGCAGCGCTTGGCAGGCGAAGATCACCAGAGACTGCCACGCCGCTGACGCAGGGACGAGTGGCTGCTTTGATATGGATAGGCAGCAACGCGTGGATATTGAAAGCCTTTGCGATAGGTTCTTCTTAGTCTTGGTTTATCAAGGCGCACGCATATCTGAGCAGTTCAACAGCAGCGCGCATCTTTCATATGATGCTTGGCGATTAGTGAAGCAGCCCAGGGTGTGGCTGTGCTGCGTTGGCAGTCGCTCCATCCATGGATTCTCATGTGGAGCTTCCTGCGATCTAGCCAAAAGAACAATGAAAGTTACCTCATCATTCCCGAATCAACCGACGTAAGGCGAAAAGAGATGCATACGAGTGCAGGCATCAATAAATATATTATACATGGAGGCTCCCTAACTAACAGCAGTCTACCTCTTCCTGGGCAGAACAATGTTAGCTCGTGCAGCAACACCAAGCTTGTGGATAGCATTGCGCCTGTCCCAGATGCCGCTCGTGCCCTGTACTACAGCAATGAGCTCCTGCGCAATACGCTGGGCAAAGCTGCTTTTTCCACTGCCCATATTTCTTCGCTTAGAAGCGGCGGCCAGGATCCACTGGATAGCTGAACGTCGCCGTTGCCTTTGACCCAGCGGAACCGGGATCTGAAGGGCAACACCACCTCCAGCAGCGCCACGCTGACTTCGGATACGCATCAGAGGCGAGACAGAGTCAATGGCGAGAGTGAGGTAAAGCACAGGGTTGAGGGGTAGATGCGATGGTGGTGGCGCGCCAGGAAGCAGAGGTCGTGCTGGGTTAATAGTGGGAACCGGTGATGTCCGAAGGTGTTGCAGGATCAGCGCCATGTTCTGCAATTCAAGTCAGTTGTTTGTAGGCTGTGATTCAAGGCTGGCTGACCTACTCGCTCCGCAACGCTCTTCTTGCCGTGTCGCATGAGCAGATTGGTGACCTGGTCGACTACGGGGTCGTGGCGATGCTTGACATGGCCGTCCTTGGGCAGCGGCAGAGTGGGCATCTCATACTTGAGTCCTGGGGTCGTTGGTGCTTTTGAGGCAGCCTGGAAGTCTACGAGACCCATGTCCACGCCGCTGTTCCCACTAGGCTGTGTCGTCATCGTCGAATAGGGCCGCGAGCCCTTGGGTGCCATGTTTGGTGTCGTCTTGGGCTTTTGCGAGTTGAGCTTGTCCTGCATCACCTTGGGCAGGTTCTGTTGCGCCTCTTTGTCTCCCTTGACTACCTAGTACACTGTCAGCCTTCGCCTTGCCATGTTTGCTGTGGATGACCCCACATCTTCAATTGGCGTGCCCTGGTTGAGGTCGGGCCCGTCCTCTCCCATTGTCTTGGCCATCGAGGCTGCTTCTTCCGAGACATGTTCAATCGGCTTTGCGTCCTCTCGCTTCGATCGGTCGGCGGCGGGAGGCTTGGTTTGATCCGAGTAGAGGCGGCATTGCGACGGCGCCATTCGAAGCGCTGACCGAGCAGGCCATTGAGCCTGAGGCCTTGGCCGGAACGCGATCGAGCGCGTGATCGCGGGGACGTTTAATCGTGGCGGCATTGTGATGTGTTGTGGAGTTGGCTTGGTGATGTTCTTGCAAAGTGACGCCGAATATTCAAGCCGATGTCGCGCTACAGCGTCCGTGCGCAGTTTGCCTTTACCCCAGATCAACCCAACGTGTTCGGCAACTCACCACCATAATTTGATGTTGCCGGATCTAAGATGCAACGCATGCGCCTACGCCTAAAACATCCCCTGGAGACCTTCAATATCTTATACTGTGCAGTAATTCGCTGTATAATACAGCGTATGCCTTCAGAGTGCAGTTTGGGTTCCGACTTCTGCCGAACGAGCTGATTCGTAGAGAGCGTTACACAAGGGAGAAAAGAACCGGTGAGACGAAAGTCGTGGCCATTTGTAGCTGGGCTTCCGGTTGAGCCTATCACGAACGAGCTCTGGTCTCAGTTGCCTGTCACTCCATTGCTCTTGTAGCAGTTACGATCTCGTCACAAATATCTTACGCTTTGTCTCTTCCAGTCCCTATCACTCAAGTCACTTGTATCAATTCGATCCATTACCATGCATATACAAGAATATCTTTTCAACGGTATCTATACCTCTGTAGTCGCCACGCATATATCAAAATCAGTCAAAACACAGAAATCAAGCTAACACACGCAGCAATGGCCAGTTCCGGCAGCCCAATGCCCAAGTCACCAAGCTCGAGAACGATATGGACAGAAGAGGCGGTTGATCGAATACCTTTTAAGTATGCCGCCTTTCTCAGCAGCCAATATTGCCACCGACTGGAACAAGAACCTTCCAAGGTTGCGTCTCTAGCCAAGTTGAAACTCGACTTGGAATACACTGTTATATACAATCCCAAAGGTAGTGATCGTTTTCCTCCGCCAACAGATAACGAGGAAATCGGTCTGGCCAATGCTCGTCTGGGGAACACGTATCAGATTACCGTCGAAGAAGTTGACACTGTATAGTTAAGCAGGTCTCGGACTTCTTCAAGAAAGTCAAGGTCGAGACAAATCACACCAAAGACCACAACAGCCGCAACAAGGAGAATAAAGGAACCGAATGCAAGGTGCACAACATCATCGGTTTCATCGTATACGGAAAGAATAGTACAAACGTCACATTCGAAAAGGTCGTCGATGGAAGGGCCACCCATCCAGCCGTTCCACACTACTTCTAGCAGGAATCCGGTATCAAGCTTAATTTTCCGCAAGCACTGCTGGTCGACCATGGCAATGCCGATGGGCCAATCAAGCTGCCCGTTGAACTGCCCAAAGTTGTTCCTGGGCAGCCGGTCTGCCGTCTCGTTGCTCCGCTGCAGACGGCCGTCATGATCAAATTTCAGACTTGTTGGATATGAGGTAGCCGGAGGAAGTCGGTGTGTTTTGTATTAGCTTAACTTCAATGTAGAAGTTATCGATTAGCTCCAGGCTGTCGGATGGTTTTGGCCGGAAAACATTCCAAGTCGATGTATACACCTTGCATCCTTGAGATCGCATTGCTTTTGCCTCCATTTGCGCGTCTATTTCAGCTGTCCCCACCTGTGCCCATCTAGAACTGGCGACAGGTTTGTTTCTTGCTTGACTGCACTCTTCCTTTGCATTGATCGTCGGACATTGCTCATTGGTCACTGCCACCTTAGATGGAGCTAGTACCCAGTATGGTGCATATCATGTAAGTCAGTCGCTCGCCCCCGTCCCGCAGTGTTGCTCCACAGCGATGACAGCCAATCGGAGGACAGCAACTCCGCAATGCGCACCCTCCGCGATGAGTGATGTTGGACTCTACTCGAAAGCTTGAGGACGCAAAGACCAAGGGCTTACTGCTTAATGTTATCGTCACCACTCGGACGGGCATGGTGGGCTGCAAGGGTACGGAATGCGTGCTGCAGGGCGTCACGGGGTCGCGGTCGCGCTTTCCCCGCACTAGCCCGGATGGACCACAGCCAATCAAGACTCAGCTCCCAGCCACTCCGTTTCACCCCACTGCAGCCCTGGACAGCACACGGGCGATTAGATGCGCTCGCATAGGCGGGCTAGCTTATCGGCGGTATACGGGGACTCTCTGTGGGCTCCTCCACCATGATCGCATTCCCTCTCGACTCTGTCTTGACCAAAGCGCTAGGCACCCACCACCTGCACCGTTCCTGCCTATTCACGCGTCACAAGGGTACTCCCATGTGCCCGCCAGAGCCTCGACACGCCCGTAGTACCGCATAGCTGAGACGGCGAACCAGCCTTCCCATTCCGCCCATTCCTCCCATTCCTCCGCCACCAGCGACTGCGCGCAAACCATGATGGACACAACCGATCGCGGGAGCTTATACGAGCACGACATCCCGTCGCTGAGCGCGTCGCTCGAAGCCTTCGACCCGGAGCGCAGCATGCACTCGGCCTACAGCGGCCGCTCCAACATGCATTCGTCGCGCTGGAGCGTGCCCCAGGACGAGGTAGACAGTGAAACCGAGTCGGACGGGCCGTGGGCGCCACCAGCATGGCAGAAGTCGCAATCTAGCAATCACTGGTACAGAAAGTCGCTGCTCGGTGAAAGCGCCATGCGCAACAGCCCGTCCAAGTCGCCGTTTGAGTACCGCACCGATCGCGACGTCACACCCTCGCGCATACCACTGCCCGAGTCGCCCTACAAGCAAACACCGCGCACCAGCCCCGAACCCATTCCCGAGGAGGAGCAGAGATACATGTCGACCAACATCGCGTCGCGACTACAGAGCCCGGAGGAGGAGCCGCAACCGAGCGCGGGCGCATTGGCGGGGACCGAGTCGACGTTGTCGCAACACGACGACGGAGGGCCAGTCGAGGGCTGTAAGTAGTGAGACCCAATGCGCGCTGTGTATACTGACAGCCATAGTCATGCGCTTTGCGTACAGAGGAGAAGCTAAGTTCCGCACAGCGCCCATCGAAGACACAATCACCACTTTCGCGAGTGGCCTTCACATCTTTACGAGGTCAAGAGCCAACCTCATCTTTACTGTCGCCACTCTTTTAATGTCTTACCTATTGCTGCATCCCTGGCAAGCCAGTCTTATTCCTGATGTCGCAAACGTCGCCAGCATGGCGAAACAGTTTGAGCCTTTGCTATACGCTTCAGAGAGTGTCATTCCACGGTCGCGCGAGCTCGCAGACGCCAGTATCGCCGTGCAAGACCTGGGAGAGAGCGTCCGCGCAACTAACATGTCTGCGTCGCCTGTTATCATCGATCAGCTAGACGACCTAGGCGATAGTCTTAGGATCCTATCCGAGAAGATTACCAGCTTCTTTACCAACGTAGATGGCGACATGGACTCGTAGGTATAGCCTTCTTGACCTCGTACACCTACTGATAACTGTAGCATCCTCATTACTATGGAATGGGCCAAGCGAGAGCTAGCAAGTATTCAAGGTCCAAAGGTTGGCATGATTGACACAGTCATCGACAATGTCCACGGCGGCCTCAACGCGATTGGCCTGCTTGAGCGCAACGGCGAGGCTACAGCCGTTGGCCGTGTTGTCAACGATATCCTTGGACACACTACACAACAGCGGTCGAAAGCTACCCTGCAGCGCACGTTCGACTACCTCCTAACCACACTCGAGGAGAACATTGCAAATGAGCTCGCGCGCGCAGACGTCCTCTTCCAACTCTTCGAGAGTGTAGACCGCCAATTCCACAACCTCCACCGCTCCGTCGCCAAAGAAGAAGACTCGCTCGCAAACCGCAAAGACGAGTTCCTCGCTTCCATGTGGCGCACCTCCATCAACAACAAGATGAAGATTAAAAAGTACGAGAAGAATCTCAAGCTACTCAAAGACGTGCGCGCATCAACCCTCATCAACAAATCCGAGCTCAAAGTGCATATCCAAATTATCCATTCCGTCAGAGACCAGCTAGACAAAGCACGCAAGAACCTCATCAGTCCTCTCATCCGCGCTGCGCAGAGCAACAGCTTTGGTTTGGACCAGCAGTTGAACGACCTGACGGGTACATATGGGTTTTTGAAGACTCTCAGAGACGACCAGAAGAAGAAGGTTCGACAGCAAATGTGGGGCGAGCCCAAGAAGCGCATTGCCATTACTGCTGGTGGCAAAGAAGAGGAGATTGAGGGGGACAGCGAGTAACTCACCTGCTTACCTCTAAACTCTCTCTTTCTTCCTCCTTTTTGAATACTGTTTTCCGGCGTTCAAATGCATAGCTTACCTCTCTTGCTTGGTTACTACTGCTACTGCTGCTTCTTTCTTGATCGTTCTAGCATGGCGACTTGGTTAGATAAAGGAGCGGTGTCCTGCTTATACTTATCGCGGCGTCTGACTGATGAGATATGTATCCTGGCGTATTGGATATATCATATGTACGGCATTGTTGCCTTAGAGCTTTTGGAGGGAACATGGATGGGATGAATGGAGGCGTTTGTGTTATCAACAGCTTTGTACAAGCATTACCACTACTACCACATACTAACATCAATCTAAACATAAATACTATTATGCTTGCGCCGTTGTCGAGAACGCGACTTGGACTGTGGTACGCTAGAGCTCTGTACAGTAGCTTACATGTCGATACAGGTGCGGACTGGTTCCGCTTGTCTCATAGTACCCAGGTACCTAGCGAACGTCAGCCGCCCCATGCTTATTACGGCACAGTATGCTTAGGCAGCCAGACCATATCTCTACATACATGTTATATAGCTACCTCACTGCACCGCGCAACAGCCCTCTCAGGGCCTCGACTTGAACCATTCCACAGAAAATACACTGCACGTAGCATAACTCGAGACTGCATCCCCCTTTCCATCACCTCTTCTCTGGTCTCCATTCAAGCACTCAACATATACCACGCAACGCTGCAAATCCAGCCGAGATGCCCAGGCGTTCCTATCGCTCTAAACCCGTCCCGTCCCCTACAGTCCTAGACCCTCCTCCCCCAGGAACCCAACCTGTCATCCGCCCAGGGCCCTCCGCAGTAACCTACCACATCCCCGTCTCCCCTCCCTCTCCCACTCAATCCACCTCCAAAACCACAATCTCCCTGCCCCGCTACTCAAAATGGACATCAGGCCTCCACTTCCACACCCTTCACACAGAACACTTACACCTCGTCCGCGGCTCCATCTTCGTGTACCTAGACGGGCAAACCAGGATACTGAGCGCTGCAGCCGGTGGCGAGGTAGCCGTTTACGGCAGTTACAAGACTGAACCCGGACTAGTCATCCAGATCCCCAAGTACGCACGGCATAACTGGGGTAGAGCGAGAGAGTATCTGGCGAAACACAGACCATCGTGTGTCACACCACGCTTTCCGGCGGATATCGACGCCGAGGTTGTGGTGGAGGAATGGACGGATCCGGTGGATGGGGCGAAAGCGCTTTTCTTCTGGAATTTGAATGGCGTTATTCAGGCACCGTCTAACACGACACTGCCTCCGCTTCAGCATTTTGCGCGATGGGTGCTGGGGCGTTGGTGGGTAGAGTTTCAGCTGTGGAATGTGTTTTGGGAGTTGGATAATTGGCCTGTGGTGCTGGGATTGAGGAATATGTTGGGGGAGGGGAGGGACTGGTGGCCGTTGCCGATTGACGTTTATCTAAGGGTTAGAGATAGATTGCCGGAGCTGTCTTGGTTGGGGCGGTGGAATAGGAAGGTGGAGGGGTGGTTGGAATGGGTTATTATACTGGTTTTGTTGGGGTTGGTGAGAGGCGTAGGATGGGTAGTAGGTGTTAGGGCTGTGGAGAAGGAAAGGACGCCAGTGGCGTTGTGGGAAGATTACCAGCAAAGGGGAAGTAGGAGTTGAGACATGGGCTTCGAAGGCGTCTTGGACGATTGTAAACATGTTTTGAAATCTGGATATGTCCTACCAACGCCGCTCCAGTCGTGTGTGAAGTATGCAGGCCATAACGCTCCGTACTCGTATCCATGCCATCCGTACCTGACGTCTCTTTCTTAACCAAAACGACCATATTCCAAGTCTTCCTCTCCACTCCACATCTCTAGATGAGATGCTTGCTTCTGAAGTAGGCGCGGAGGTACACAACCTGCCAAGCCCCCAATCCAACCAACATACCCATCGTGCCCAGCGCAAACCACTTGACCCTCTCATTGGTGCTCTCATTGGTATCACGCAGCTTCTGCTCACGACTCCTCAGGTAATCCATCTCGGTGACAATCTCGCCAACCGTCTCCTCGATCCGCCTGAGTTCAGCTTCTACGGGCTTCAGCTTGTCGACGGCTTGGATGGCGTTCCAGTCCTTGGCGTCGGCGCCAATGTCAATGTCGAGCTCAACGTGGCGGGGTGCGATGTTCTTGGACGAGCCGGACGAGGTGAAGATGTTCTCGAAACATACGTCGAAGGCTGAGTCGGCGTGCGAGGTGAAGGCGTAGCGGTTCTCGCCCACTACGTCTTTGGGGCGGTGGTAGTCGTTGCCCATTGCGTCGCGGATCTTTTTGTCGCTGTCAGTAACGTCTTCTCACAGTACAATGCTCGCATGATGCTGGTTTGTTGACATGGCGCTGGAATTGCAACGTACATGCATATCCACTCTCTGTCCATCTCCGCGGTATCCATCCAGAATCGCCGTGACAACCACCAACTGGTCTTTGGCAACAAAGTTCCTAACGCATCGCTCGTACTTGGCCGAGTCGTGTGGTGCGACCGGGTGGAGGTCGAATTTCAGGGCCGCGGCGAGGGGGAGGATTGCCAGCAGCACGCAGCTGAGAAGACGTGCTAACCGGTCCATGCTGGATTGGGGATGTGTGGAGAGCTGCAGCGCTTGCGGACTCGAGTTGTTGCCCTCTTGGTGGCTCCGCGAATTGTACAGCTGTCGCAAGACCGCGCGGAAGGACAGATGGTCCGATTGTAAGCTAGCGCGGAGTGGGGAAGGCGCGTGCGGACCCTGAACCAGAACAGCGACTGGGAGGAGCGTGTCTCGCCATCACTCTTCCAGCTTCGATATGTTGAGACGACCACATATTCGCGCTAACTTGACAGAAGTCTGATGATGCAGTTTTAGAAAGCTTATCGCAACTAGACTATTTCGTAACGGCGTTAACCCATATCAACGCCAACCCGTCGCTGAGAACGCTCAAAAGACATATCCTACAGTACGACAACAGCCTTCTTACCAAGCGGTAGTACCGCCATCCAGCTTCAGATCGTGCCCAGTCATGTAGCTGCTGGCCTTGCTCAACATGAACAGTCCCGCAGCCTTGTACTCCTCAGGAGTGCTGAGCCTGCCCAACATGCTGTTGTTCTCCCATTCCTCGCGGCTGGCCTCGCCCTTGTCGAAGTTGGCTTGCACCTAAAGATGAGTGTACGAAGTCAGTATTTGTCTCACATACAGTTCGTAAATGGATATTACTAACCATCGGTGTAACGATATGACCCGGACTCAGAGAGTTTACTCGGATACCGCCTGAGCCATCTGGATTCTTCCTTCCCCACTCCATGGCCAAGTTCCGTGCCAGCTGCACCACCGCCGCCTTGGATGAGTTGTAAACGGGCGCGATGAAGCCTCGGTTGGCAATGGTACCACTCATGCTTGCGACCAGGCAGATCGAGCCTTGGATCTTGTATTCCATCATCTGACGGGCGCATTCTCGAGCTGCTAGGAACACGCCAGTGTAGTTGACATCGAGCATCTTTGCGATGTCTTCCTTCTTGAAATCGAGCGCGGGTGTGACTTGCTGGATGCCGGCAGCTGGAGAAGGGCTGGTCAGTATGCGGCTTTCAGTATGTCTGTAAATCCTCTTACCTGCAATGAGACCATCGAGCCGTTGGTGCTCCGACGCAATACCGCCGATGCACTTCCGCATCGCCTGCTCGTCTGTAACGTCCACCCTATGGTACTGCAGACTCGCACCGATGTTGCTCTTGAGACGGCCCTGAGCCTCTTGGAATGCTTGAGGGGGTTCCGGTAACCGATCGAGACAATGCACCTTGCCGCCAGCCTCCACGAGACCTTCAGCCATGCAGAGTCCTAATCCACGACCTCCACCTGTTGATACGTTAACACGGGTTACAAAAGCATATTGTTGCTCTAGAGATGGGAGGAGGACGGCATGCTGCACCTGTAACCACGAACACTTTTCCATCGAGGTCGAATTGGCTAAAACGCTTCTCTCCAACAGTCTCATGTTTTTCGTATGGAACTTGAGGATAGGTTGCGTCTTGGTGTGAAGCGAGACCTCGACGCTGAAGAGGGGTCGTGCAAGGCTGAAGTCGAAACGCAGGTGGCGCTGGGCGCGCGAAACGTCGAAGCAACATTCTCGAAGACCGAAAAGCTGCCATGACTGATGTTGTGTGTTTGCAGACTGACAGTCGAAAGTAAGAAGACAAGACGAGAGGAAACACAATGTTGAGCGACAAGCCAGGGCGCTCCTGTGCTGACATGTATATGTCACACAGGCATGATGTAATTGCAGCTCATACGCGTACCTCCCCTTCCTTCACCTTGGCTGACCGACAAAGCATCGTGACTTCCGCGGCGACCCAGCCGCACGATTCGTTGAGACCCTAGATGAACGCCGCTGCAGACGAGCAGGGCAAAAGCTTGATGCTAGGCGCGTGACCGAGACACGGCATAAGATTTAGTAACGATTAGCTTACTGGGCTTGCCACACAGACGTACGAGCATCAATCTCACGATGTTGGCACCTGCAGGCACGGCTGGCCTGCGTGGTCTGAGTGGGTCGCGCCTGTTCCCAACCGGTATCCGGAATGCGGGGCTGTGGAGACACAGGGCTGGGTGGTAGTTGTGGTGATTGGTCGCGGATAGTGTCGCCAACACGCCAGAGGTACATCATTCTGAGCGAACATGGGAATTTTGTGCCTTGATGCGTTATCTAAGATGGAGAAGTTTTCATTTTCCCATGATAAGAGCCTGACTGCGCAGCATGCACGGCCGTGGTAGTGGTCGCAGTGGAGAAAATACTCCACTTTGCCATGGGATTCACGTCAGGCTTTCGCAGCGGTCCTTGCATTGCAGGATTCACTTTTCACGATAGAATGTCCTGGACAGCTCGAGAAGCGATCACATCGTGATTTGGTTGACCGGGCTTACTCAGTTGAGAAGCACACGTACTTGCACAATGCAACACAACGCGCTACACAAATCATACCGTTGCTATCTAAGCAAGCTTGACCTGAACCTACGGGTTGCTAGATACATGAGTATGACGGTGTAATAATGAATGGTTGGAGGCAAAACGCGCCATTTTTGCGCAATCCGCAAAGCTTTTAATCAAATATTGCAGTGTTTCTAGGCAGTGATAAAGCTTTTAACTATGAGGCACGAACGCTTTCTGCATCCATCACATGCGGCGTGTGTGCAAATACTCATTGCATCTATTCTGGCAGATTAGTGTTTGCGGACCAAGTGACAGTTCCAAGAACTTCTCTAGTCGAGATGGCTATTCTCTCGTTACACCCATGTTTCTGCCGCTTATCTTATGGTTGATACCACGATGTGATTCTACACACTCTGATGTTTTGTCTGAGCAAATTTCCATTTTTTGGAGGGATGAGAACCTCTTTGGATCCTAGGAGGCCGATCAAATGCCACGGAACCTGAATCGATGCTCATGATACTGTACATGCTTTTACGGCGCACAGTTGGTCTTGAAATTGTAAACATTCTCGCATGCTGTGCTTCAGTGTTGCACTTTCTTATGATTTCATATTGCTGCTACCCCATGACTGTTCTCAAGTGCGATCACTAAATTGACAACGCAGGCTCTAGACATCCAGATCATGAATGCGGTGTTGAGGCTCTATATCGAGTGCATCGGAAAGTTTCTTGGGGTCCTAAGTGTGTCGAGCAAAAACGAGTCGCGGTGGAAACATGAAAATGCAATATCCAATATTCTTGGGTCAAATCCGAGGGGCAAGATAGTGAGACTAGTGGACTAAGGTGGGGTAGATGCAGCATGTCTCGCTTCGGAACGCTAATGCGCCAATTCTCGGCGCAGCCCCTTTATTTCAAAACTCGCAATATAAACCTACCAAAATCACAACCTTCCATCAATCATCTCTTCAAGAGATCCATCGGCCTGATGGTCTAGTGGTATGATTCCTGCTTTGGGAAATCACGTGACCGTGATAAGCCTATTCTGCAGGAGGCCCCGGGTGTAAGTTCACCCATTAAGATTCGAAACCGAATGCAAACTAATAGCGTCTAGTCGAATCCCGGTCAGGCCCCAACTTCTTTTTTTGCAGCATTCTACGCATGAGGAGATCAGGTATGAGTTGCGTGTGTGACTCACGTCTTTCTGTTTCATTTTATTTTATTTTTTTATTTTTTAATTGCGCTGGTCTGGGAACGCCAAATGGAGCGGTTGAGCAACACGTTATATTATCGCAACGCAAACACACTGTAATAATTGTACGCAGCTGTATACCTTTATTCTTCGCGGATTCAATATCAACTAAGAAAGGATTAAGGAAAGCACACATACGAGTGGGTTGCATGTGACGTTTGATCGCTGTGGCTATTGTCGCAGCCTGGCTGCCGCGCAGAAGAGCAACAAGTTCACGAAGTTACTTTACCAATACCTACTTGTCACCAACTTCAACCCCTCATCTCCAAATTCGCGAATACCCCTCTCCTCCACCCGCGTCCTCGTTCGAAACGTCTTCTCAACCTCCCCAGTCTTCAAATTCACACCCTCATGTTCATACCGCTCTCTCTTTATCAAGCATCCTTCTATCGCCCACTTCGGCACCGCTTCCTCAAACCTAACACCCTTCTCCTCTAGCATCATACTAACAAGATCCTTCGTCTTCTTCCCATTCATCTCCTTAGTCGAATACATAGTCCTCGCAAAAGCAGAAACAGAATTCCTCACAGCATCATTGCGACAGCGCCAAATAAGGTTATTAAGCGCCTCTGCTATGTCAGGCACAGGGGAGAACCTCGCATCGAAATGTGCCGTCCCAAGCACTTCTTCCACGTCGCCTTTAACCTCCGGCTCAGGCATCGTCTTCAGAGCATCAGTGAGATGCTTGTTGAATTTCACGGAGCAGTAGCTAGCACTTAGACTACATAGCTTTTGTACTCGCTCGTTGAAACTTTGCACGCCTTCTGGGAAGACTAGGGTGATCTCGTCGGATTGCGTGTACGCGACTGTGGCTCGGGGGAAGAAATGGAGGAGATCGGCGCAGGTCGATATTATTGCGGTGTGTATGCGCTCGTCAAATGGACGCGCGAAATGGGAGGTAAAGCGTGAGAAGCCATGACCATCCAGGCGGAGAATGATTGGTTTGTCGAGTGGGAGGGTTTGGTCGAAGTGTGCTTCGTATGATTTCATGCGCGCTGCGAGTGATAAGGGTTTATCGGCGCGCGGTGTTCGTGGTGTCTCGACGTCATTGCGGTCTGACATGGTTTCGGTATTGGTGTTGAGAATCTTGTAGGTTGGCTGTATTGGCTGTTGGAATGTAAGACTACGCCTACCTTCACCCTAGATTAACGATGACTCATCAGCCTCACGTGTTTTCACTTCGGTTACTTCATTAGGGTCGTTATAGTGGTTACGTCACGATGAAGGACGGATTGGAGGGTATTCTCTGAAGTGGCATTATCCCCCACAGTATTATGTACATCATAAAAGCTTCATGCTCAGCCATCCCAATAATTATTCCCAGCTTAAGGCAAGCACGAAAGGATCGGCTTGAGCTTGTTGATGATCTCAGTCTGAACCGCAGCATCGTTCATAGTCGTCTTGTCGTTTGCATCGCCAGGGCTAATGGTAACGTAGCAATCGCTTCCTCGGATCAAGATGACATCCGCCTCCCACGGCAGGCGCGTGCTACCGCACCATTCTGCATCGCGAGCGCTCAGGAGACCGGTGTTGATGCGAGTAAAGATGTACTTGAACTGGCTGGGGTCGCTGCACTTGGTTTCGGATACAGCGGGGAAGTTGACATTCAGGAAGGAGTTTGCTGGGAGGTATGGCTTTCCAGAATTGATGATGGTCGTGGTAACGTTCAAAGCCAGGTCAGCATAGACCTTGCTGTGGAAAGGAGTAGGTGCGTTCCATGCAGTAGGATCTCCTGTCACGCCAGAGAAGGCGATGGCTGGGATCTGAGCCGTCTTTGCCGCGAATGCAGCGGCGCCGACTGTGCCGGAGAAGGGAACCTGAACAGCAACATTGCTGCCGACGTTCGGTCCGGTCAGGGCAAGTTCAGGCTTTGCGCCGTTCCAGAGCTTGGGAGCCGTGACATCGATTCCCTCCTTGATCGAAGTGACCGGGAACGAGTTGACGTAGTTTAGGCGAGGGTCTGTCGCGTTTGCGCCGGTTGGCGGGCTTCCTCCCGGGCAGGACGCATGAATGCAACCGTCTGAATCAACGGTTTTCGGGGGTGCGTCGGAAGATCCTGATATAAGTCAGCATGTGTATATGGCCATGACTCGACTACCAACCTCTGCCAGACTGGTTCTCAGCGGGACCAGACAGTACGACTTCGTGACCAGCAGAGTTCAAGACGTCAAAGAAGGTGCGAAGGTTTGCCTCTGACCAGCCGTCATCGTTTGACTGAACGATGCGAACGGCTTGAGCGAAAGGAACTGCCGCAGCGAGTAGTAGGAAGGATCGCATCTTGAATAACGAATGGAAGACGACGAAGCGAATGTGTTTGACGGAGCGACCTGAGACCTATGCAAGCAAACAGCGCGCACCTAACGTTTATAACAACACCCTTCTCCCGACCTATCCTTACGCCAGCCACAGAGTCCCCAGTCTTGATCCACCGCTAATGTTCCAAGCATTATGCGAGCCGAACGGGCGAACAGAGGTCAGGAACACAGCCATGGCACACGCCGCAGTCTAGTCACAACGTGCGGGTAGCAGCGATCTGATTGCTCCTCGCATAAATGACCATGGTAGTGACATGCTGCAAACATCGGCTTTGAGGCTGTGAGTGGTTCTTGACCTCCGAAACGGAGACACTCCCAAGCCTTTGGGGGTGTCGCCCCTAGCGCCTCGGCTGCAGCCACTCAAATGGGCAGGAGCGCCCGGTAGTCTTTCGCACGTGTGAGGAGCTTGAGGTGTCATTCACGGATTTTGATATGCAAGTAGTTTGGTTCATGATATGTCAT